GCAGAGGTTATGAAGAACAAGGGTCAACACTGTAAATATTGACTCATTATATTTTTTTGACAATAAAAGCCTTTAAAACTTATGATATTCTTATCATTGTTTTTCAGTATACCATAGAAACATGTGGAAAAATCTACAAATACTGAAGCAGCAAACTTTGCAAAATGTTTGGCCATGACTGTGTACTCCTGCCTAAGAATGAAATCAAACAATTTGCAAGTAACAGTTCAAAACATGAACATCCTACATGCAGTGGCCCTAAAAAGTATCCAGACACTTTTGGACACTGCATGGAAAAAAAAGTGCCATCTGCAAACAAATAACACTTGAACTTTTAGTGCAACTAGTCTCAAGGTAATTTTTAGTAGATGTATGGAGCCAGATCCACTGAAGTTCATGCAGGTGTCCTAGAAGTGTAATCACAGGTGTATGACATTCATATATTTTTAGGTGTCCAAATTCTTTTTCGGGCCACTGTACATGAAGCAGATGAGGCAGCACACTCACTGTGGCTTTGAGAGCCTGGATTGTGTGATGTCTGGGGAAGCCCATGGAGGTGAGGATGGAGATGCTCTCTTCTGGAGGCTGGTTGTCCAGTGCACTTGTAGAAGGGAGGCTGGGGCTGGGCAGGTCTGGTTCCATGTAAGTGGGAACTGCCAGAGGCTCGGCAAAATCTACAGTTGGTTTCAGAAGAGACGGAAGAGTTAAGTCGTCTGTCACACATATATAGCATTATTACATGTGTGTAGATTTATTCACCAAATGTGCAGAGGATGAAAATATCACACTCGCTGCTCTATTGAGATTACACAGATAAACTGGAAATTCAAATGAACACGAGCCATGCAATCCATTCCCTGTAGTCTGCAACTAATCCTTTAATGTTCAAGATCAAATGCTGTGTCACACACACACTGTATGACACCACCATGTTTAACCGTTAGCAACTACAAACTGACCAGCCTCAGTCCTAAACGAACAAAGATTCCAATTAAGTATTGAAGGCCGTCCTGTGCACCATGCCTAACAACATGATATATGACTTGATATACAAAGTGATATACTATAATTTGTATAGTATACAAATTAAATAGAAATATAATTAAATATTAAATTAAATATCAGAATCAGAAAGAGCTTTACTGCCAAGTGTCTTTACACACACAAGGAATTTGTCCTGACTTGGTGACAGGAGCTTCCAGTACAGAAAGTAGACATAGTGCAGACATACATATAATAGACATAAATATAATGAAAAAAAATCTAACTAATAATACAGTAATAATAAAGAGAATAGACAAAAAATAAAATAACAATGTAGCAATAAAATATATAGACAGAATTTGACTGTGCAAATGTGCTATTTAAGATGAACAGTGTTGAGAAGTTATGTACAGATGTGCAGTCCTGAGACTGTATTGAAATATGTATTATTAATATAAACTAATATAAATATATAATATATATGTATATATATATATATATAAACATTATGAATACATTTTCAAATTAAAAGTTATTGTGTCGTGTAAATATCTAATCAAAGAGAAATGTATCTCTCAAGTTTCTTTTTTAATATCTATTACCCATTTTTGCCTTGTCTAATTCCTTTTTCAATTTGCAATTTTTTTTATTTTATTCGGCAACCATGCATTAAATTGATTAAAAGTGACAGTAACGATTTTTACACTGTTGCAATAAATAAATGACCAAACAAATAAATAAATATGAATTGTCTGTTTATTAATTACAAAAAAACTGAAATTATATATATAAGGCAGAGCAGATCAAAATATTCTAACTTTTTAATATAAAAAGTTAGGATTTCTGCTTTCCGTAGACTAGCCATATATCATCTCACAGTACACAGTACTGAATAATTAAGGTAAGACTAAAAAAAATCTCTGTATATTGCACACTATATTAATAACGACTGTCAGTAGCATCTATATAGGAACAGGCCCAGCTGTAGCTGTGGAGCAGACGTAAGTCACACGAGTCTAGGAGATGCGAAGCTAATGGGGTTTGGACCGCTTGAGACTCTGCATGTGTGTATGTCTGATTCTGTTCGTGATCTCAGGTGGATGCTTAACTGGGGCAGGAAAGTGAGGAGAACAGAATTCCCAGCTCACAGGTGACGCTCAAGTGTGAGGACAGTGTTTACTAGCCAGAAGCACAATGATAAACAAGGGTGACTAGCAAGAGACTTGAAATTCAACCTTGTGTAGACTTGAATCTACTCAACTAGAACATTCTGAGTCCAATAATATAGAGCACCTTAGATCTAAATTGCATTTGGATTAATTACTTTGGCATGAATCTTTCCCCATCACTGAAAATACGCAACTCTTTACGTCACATGTATTTATCTTATAGCCTAGCTAAGTGACATGCTCCAAACATAAAATATTCTCCTGTGGCTGAAACCCAGATAATGAGCCTCACGAAGCACGCCAGATTTCTGTGGCTTATTTATCTTGAATGCAGCATAAACGACAGTTAAAATATATGTTTGCTTTGAAGGAACACTCCACTATTTTTGAAAATAGGCTCATTTCCAACTCCCCTAGAGTTGAGTTTTACCGTTTATAAATATAAATATAAAACGGTATGTATATTATCACAGGTCATAGGTCTGTTCTGAAAAAAAAAAACTCATCTTAGTAGAAACTATACTAATTAGGCAGATGCTTCACATGGATATGGATATGACCCAGATTACATTAAATACAGGTGAGAGTAAATACAGTGAGAATATACATGTTTTTTCTGCCCACAATGTGTTTTGCTAAATATTTCCCAGAGCATGAAACATTGAAATTCAAGATACAATATTTGGTCCAGTATTTGTTTCATCACATGCCTACCTAAAACGGCTCGTTTAAACACGCCCCCACATGTCTACGTCACTGTGTGGGAAGATTTGCATAACACCGCCCAAATGTTCACGCAAAGAAAGAAGGCGTAACTTTGATTCTTGCAAATGCACAAAATAATGTTCTTTTTAGCAACTTCATATGACCCCTTTAACAGCAGAAATCGTGGTGAAAAATTCAATTACCCATGATGCTGTAAATAAAATTCCAATCCAATCAGAGAATCGCAGCATGTGAATCTCACCAAACCATGCCAATTTTGAATACTGTTGGGACTATACACTTCATATAGTAATATTAATATTTTTTTTTATATTCAATATTTGAATTTAAGGACTTTTGTATTATAAACAGTTGTGATACTGTGTTGATTTGCCATTTGATTTCCCATGAGGCCTAAAGCATATCAGCTGAGAATCACCTTAATAAATATTGTTGTGAAACCGTGCTTGAAAGAATGTCAACTGGATGGCTAATATGCAAATGACAGTAAGTTCATCTGAGTTAAAAGTCTAAAATGTCTACAATGAAAGTGTTCCTTTCGAGGAAGCATGTAATTAGGTGACAGAGTCTTCTGCTCAATTAGACTTTCCCTCGCACTTCACTTCAAACAAAATGGCTACAACCTTTTAGCCAGTGGAGCTAAAATGGCAGACACTTGAGTATCTTCCCATTGATTACTAGACTATGTGACCAGAGCTATTAGAACAAATAAGATGTTTAATACCATCTTAGCTGCATGTTTTAGGCCATAACAAATGTATATAATTTGCTACTTGTATATGGAACATTTTATAGTTTCACATAATATATTTTTAAATATTACATATAACATAACCATTACTACTATTACTATTTTAAGTAATGCTTTTATATAAAATAAGGGAAGGACACAGGAGATATGCCTTTGTTCAAAACGTGTCAGTTCAGTCAAGATACGAGGCCCTACCTGGCTCTTCCATGTGTGCTATTATCCAGTTAAAGGCCATCTCTGCCCCCATATTCCCAGTGTAATACACTGCCTTCCGACAGGCTTCCAGAGGGAAACCCATCTCTGCCAGCTGCATCACGGATGATTCATCTATTTCTGGAACTGAGGAACAGGTAAAGAGAATAGTGGCTTCAAATCAACATCAGCAGCCCTTAACTAACAATAAATCCACAGAGCATTTAAAATCTTCAAGAAAAATAACTGACCATTTTACAAGACTTTTAATACTGTTCATCGAATAAGTAATTTTGTAGTGCATACATTTTGTAATTGTGCACATTTACAATCAAAGCGGTACTTACATTCCAAAGAGTTGTTTGTTGTACTGTCTGAATACAAAAATAAGACTTAGTCAGTACAAAGCAAGGCGTTTTACAATTTGATGGGCAATTTTACAATAAAATGGGCAATTTACAATTTCAAGCTGGCTGTTTTCATTATATTTCACTACATAATATTTCAACTATTTTAAACAATGGCAAAAAACATACAACACTGACTATAAGATTTTGTTGTTTTTTAAAGACGTTTCTTATGTTCACCTGGCTGCATTTATTTTATCAAAATTTGAAAATAGTAAAAGAGTAAAAACAGTTATAATGTGAAATATGATAAAAATGTCAAATAATTGTTTTCAGTTGCAATATATTTAAGATGTAATTTATTCTTGTTATGGCAAATCTTTTAAGTCTTCAGTGTCACATGATCCTTCAGAAAGCATTCTAATATGCCGCTTGGTGCTCAAGAAACATTTTTTGGTATTATCAACGTTGAAAATAGTTGTGCTGCTTATTTTTATGGAAACCATGATACACTTTTTCAGGATTCTGAAGAGTGATGAATAGAAAGAATGTATTTGAATCCATTGATCCATTTTATTAATCCTTCCTGAATAAATTAATTTCTATCAAAAAAAAAAAAAAAATCTTATTGACTCCAAACTTTTGAAAGGTAGTCTAAAGGTTCTCACCTCTGGTGTCTTCAGGAATGACAATAGGAGGTGTAAGGTCAGGCAGCTCCTCTTCTCCAGCCTGTAGCCCTGTGGCCCGGAGGCGATTCAAGTCCAGGAAATCAGGTACATCTACAGAAACATCTGTAGCACATAAAAAAAAAAGATTTTGAAGGCAATTTTATATATTACAAAAAAAATGTACTGTACATTGATACATTCAGAAGAGACTCTCGGAACAGATTCTGGGCATTATTTCTTTCCAAAAACCTTGCCAACATTTTGCTGACCACAGATTCCAAAAATGTCTCACGTAAAAACACAGTGCTAGAGTACCCTCTGCTGGACAAGGGAAAAGCTCTAGTATGCTGAGCAAACATAACACCTTGCAAACTGATGGTCTTTTGAGGCAGGCAATCGTGATGCATTGCTCAACATGCATGACATGTGATGGTCTGAATTGCACAAGAGAGCATGTGATAGGCAGCTACAGATGACAAACAAGAACATGACATATCAATAAATCTGCTTTGACGGGAGCTGGAGGTACAGAGAATCAAAAATCCTTTCAAAAGGACGGAGTGAAAATAGGATAATTTTGTACATGCATTGCATGCTTTTGTCAACAATGTGTTAATTTATTTACAACAATTTGAAATCAAATATACAACGTCAAACTAAAAGCACTTAAAATTACACACCTAACTTTTTGGGCACCCAATCAAGCCCAAATGTGAACTTCTTTATTTGCACGACCATGTACTCTGGGAAAGATGCGAAACGAGAAGTCCTGAGGAGAGAGAAAGATAAATCTTTTAGAGCCTGCATTTATACATATATTGGGATTTACAGGGGTTTATATATATATATATGTTATATATATATATATATATACACACACACACACTCTCTGCAAAAAATGATTTTCTTACTTAGATTTTTTGTCTTGTTTTCAGCCAAAATATCTAAACATTCTTAAATCAAGAAGGATTTTCTAGACAAGTAAAAATTATTGTCTTGTTTTCAGAAAAAACATGTCAAAATTAATTGAGTTTTTGCTTAGAACAAGCAAAATAATCTGCCAATGGGGTAAGCAAAATAATCTT